TTTTCATCTAACCTCCAAATTAGTCACCGTTTTCACCTATGGTTATGTTTTAACATGGAGAATAGTTTGAATTAACTAAATTTAAGATACATGATTAAGATCTTCAAAAGTGACTTAATAGACCACTAGTTAGAGTTTGATACACCTTTTAATGTTATTAGGTGACACTTGAGTTACTACATCATTCTTGGGGAAAGAGGATGGGTTAGAAGATTTTACATACCTTAAAGGTGAAGTACGATAGCTTTAAAGTAAAATGGGTAATTACCAAATACATGTCCCTATGTAAATAAGAAATTATGTTTTTAAGAAAAGAAAAACGATTAGGTTCTTTGTAAATTTGATTTGCTATGTGAAATATTAATATGTATCTATGTGCAGTTGTACATATATGAAATTATGTTTTTTAACATATGTTTTGAAGACTTAATGACTATTATGAATTGCAAATGACTTTTCTCAAGAATATGTGAATCCATATGAGTTCACGATGGGATTGGAATGACTCACGTTTATCCAACCTAAAATCCGTGGTAAATGACTTTGATGATGTTTAATGACTTATGACTGGTGATGGTACTCTATACACTGCCTCACTTGAATACATGGTCTCGGAAAAAGTCCTAGCTACGAGTTTAGGGTTGCATATAATGTTTACCATAGGAAAAGAGTTAGACGCATAATGCATTGCATCTATTCTTATTATGACTTTAATGATAATATTTTAAATGTGACTTTAACTATGGTACTTAGTATTTTAGTGATGATATTTTGATTATAACTTCAATGATAATAGTTTGAATATGATTTTAATGATGATATTTTGATCATGACTCTAATGATGAATCAAGTGATGATATTTTGATTATGACTCTAAAGATAATGTTTCATTATAACTAATAAGGATATTTTGATTAGGACTCTAATGATGATTTTTTTATAATAATATATAATGAATAATAATACTTTTTATTTAAAATGACTTACGGTTATTTGACCATGAATTCAAGAGTTTTCAGTATGTTTAAGGTTTTCCTAAGATTTAAGACTTGAATTTTCATAACGAGTTCAATAATTTTTTAAGGAGTTCTCATTAGTCAAAGGTATTAATCCAATTTCTTTAACTCTAAAGGTGTGAATTATAGTATTACTCGCTAGGCATTCCCAATGTCTAACATGTATACTAACATGCATTCAAGCGGTAGTAGAAAATGAAGACTTAGAGGATGATTTGAAATTTTAAAAGGGCACGGTATTGTGTGGTTACTTAAATTATTATTTTGATATTATGATTGTTTAACCTGCTCTAAGTACTTTAATTTGGAATTTGTTTTGTGAAAAAATGACTATGGGATCTAATTCCGCAACTAATGATTTTAAAATGAGTGAAAAATGTTTTTTAAAGAATTGAACATTAAACCGAAAATGTGGGTTCTTACGATTTAGCTTTTCAGTTTTGAGGATTTCACTATTTTCATTTATGAGAGAAAGAAAGAATAAGTTCAAGGTGTCTTTATTACTCTTTTTCTAATATGTCAATAGACACTTTATCTACCGGATAAATGTTACATCAACCATTTTTTATAAAGGTAGCAAAAAATGCAATGGTTTAATTTCTGAAACAAAATTATTATAATTAACTTCACCATGTTAAATAAAAGTAGTAGAGTTGATTGGAGGTATATCAAATTTAGTTCCCATCGTAAACACTCAGTTTATCCCCAATTAGGTTAAGAAAGTAGTAGATTCAATGAAGATATTGCGATCATGGACCATTAGATCTGAGGATAAACATGACTACTAGTGGAAGTTTTAAAATTGTATAAAGAAATTAGGGAAAAGGATTGTTTGATAACTAAATAAACAAACAATATAAGTAGTGTGAAGGACTGCTAATCGACATAGTATACAACTAACATAGGCTAGGGTACTACTAAGACCGGTGGGAGTGGCTGCAGTAGAGACCGCACCACCGGTGCTACATAGGCTGGAACACCGCCCCTCCACCGCAGTTGGGAGCGGTGGAGGCCGCACTACGGCTTCCCACGAGAGCACTCCTCTCTTTTATTTTCATTCAAAGTAACCGTTGAATGGTCGGATTTTTTTTAAAAAAAATGTTTTTTTTTTTCTTTTTTAACCTTTAAACTTTCCTATTTAAACCTCTCAAACCTTAATAATTTTTTTATCGTTCTACTACAATTCCTCATAAAAATTTAAAAATCATCGTCATCCGATTCTTCTGAAGACTTTGATATTATGTTTGTTTTTGTCATTGCTGCTAATTTGGCGGAACAAATGTATGAAGCGACAGGTAGTAGCGCAACCGGAAGTGTAGAACGGAGAACCCGAAGTTATGTTTATAAAAATCGTGAAGAAGCAAATCAATGGTCGATACAAGACTAAGAAAATATCACTTTTCAAGGGTACTATTTTCGAAGGCGTTTCAAAATTTTCAAACATTTGTACGAACGTAGAGTCGAAGATCTAATGAGGGAGTGTATTTTTTCCAACAATGGTCCGATGCTTGAGGTACACTCGGTTTCACCCCTTTATAAAAATGCACAGTCGCACTTAGTAAATTAGCATATAACACCTCTCCTGATGTGTTGGATGAGAATTTTAGGAAGTCCGCTAGGACTGCACGAGATATTCTCCATTATTTTTGCAAAACTGTTCTTCAGTTTTATGGGCCAAAATATTTACCTTAACCTACACGCAATGACATCATAAAATTGCAATCTCATCATGCTAGTATACATGGGTTTCCTGGAATGTTAGGAAGTTTAGATCGTCTACATTTGGCATGGAAAAATTGCCCTAGCTCACACTAGAGATGCACACAAAAACCGGTTTCACTATTCAAAACCGGATTAGGTCAAAACCGGTTTTGACCAAACCGGATCGGATCGGATTTAAAACCGGATTTTCAATCGGATCCTAATCCTATATTCCAAATCGGATTTGATACCGGATCGTAAACCGGATTCGCTAAAAACCGGATCCAAATCCGCCCCAAAATCCGATTAAAACCCACTAAAATCGGTTTAAACCGGTTTCAAATCGGATTCGGATTTTGGTTAGAACCGGATCGGATTTTGACCGGATTCGGATCGGATTTTGACTGGATCGGATTTTTGATGACGTAAGCGAAACCGGATCGGATTCGGATCCGGATCGGATCGGATCGGATTCGGGTTTTGTGCATCTCTAGCTCACACCATGGTCAATTTACTCAAGGTGATCATGGACATCCAACAATTATACTTAAAGTGGTGGCATCACGGATCTGTGAATTTGGCATGTTTTTTTGGTTCACCAGGTTACCTTAACGACATTAACATTCTTAATCATTCACCTATATTTAACAACATACATGACAAATCTACACCAGGTTCTTTCCAATTGTGTGGAAAACCATATAAATATGGTTATTATCTAGTTCATGCGATCTATCATGAGTATGCAGTTTCTGTTAAATCGTTTATATGTCTGCATGATACTTGTTAGAAAGAATTCAAGAAAGTAGAATAAAGAGCTAGGAAGGATGTCGAGCGGGCTTTTAGAGCTCTCAAGAAACGTTGGTTCATATTGAAAAAAGCAACAAATTTTTCAACGAGGAAAAAATATATGAAGTCATGTATGCATGTATAATACTACATAACATGATTATCGATGAAAAAGTACGAGCGATATGTGATTATGATGAGCAGGAAACGATTCCTGAGACACAAACAATAAAAAATGGTGACGACGAGTACATTGAAAAAAGAGCAGAGGTTTGTTTTCATTGAAACATTTCACATTCATTGTATTTTTGTGGAACACATTTACGTGATTCAACACATTCACCTCAATTTGGATCCCCCGGATGACCCGAAAGACGAGTTCTCGAAGGACGATTTCATGTAGTTCGTTTATATATTATTTTAATTTCCTATGTTTTTCTGTAGTTTGTAGGTTTTTTTTTAAATGTTATGTTATTTTTTTAAGTGATGCAATGTAATAGGTTTTTTTTATTAATGAAATATTTTGTTTTTGATTAAAACTACAAATTTTAATTATTTTAAAAATATATATATATATTGAGTGTGATACCACTCCGTTGGTGTGATATGTAACCATATTTTTGTGGTAAATGGTGAGGTGACGCCTACGTGACACTGTGGTTTCATGAGGGAGTATGACACCGCTCTCTCCAGCCTAATACACAAAAGTCAATTAGTAGAGCTCATACTACAAAGGTAGATACTACATAATGAAATATGTTCTTCTTTGGTAGAGGGAATCATTGGTATTAAAAGGAAACTTTGGTGGAAGAGGAAGTAGAGAATCATCTTTTGGTTTATTGGGAGAGGGTGAGTTAATTTTGTCAAATGGCTCATCAATGTTTACAATACTGTCTTCTCCTTGTTGGCTAGAGGGACGACTCTCTGGCAAAAACCATATGATACGTCTTCTCCTTGTTGGCTAGAGGGACGACTCTCTGGCAAAAACCATATGATACGTCTTCTCCTTGTTGGCTAGAGGGACCACTCTCTGGCAAAAATCATATGATACGTTCTTTGAACTCTTTCTTCTGTTGTATAGTCTCAAATGATCTAAGGAAACTCGACAATAAGTTTATGTAGAGCACCAGTATCCGAAGGTGCAATAGTGTTGTTAGTAGAAACTTGAATGACTTTATTGAATATCACAATGGTACATATAAAAGACCGATGATGACCATGTCCATGTTCATTTATTGAACGTGTTTTGTCTCCAATCTATTCATCCGAAGAACATGCCTTCACATATTGTGTCATCACCTGGCCATTAGGAACCAAAGGGCTTCTAGCCCATATTAGGTAATGCCCTCCCTTTTTAAGGTTGAAGGTTCAAGTCCCGTTGTGAACATATGTGGAATTAGGTGTTAGTTTAGGAATAGATTATAATATTTGTATTTGCCAGTTCAAAAAAAAAAAAAAAAAAAAAAAAAAAAAAAAAAAAAAAAACAAACAAACCTGACCATTAGGAAGAAAAAAAAACATAATACTCCACCATTTCAAAATTCTCCTTTTCTTCGGCGTCCTCCCAACTATGCTAAGAATCCCATTTCATTCCACTTCAACCAAACACAACATAATTCAATTCAAACTCCAATTCGTTCAAATCCCAATTATTTACATATTTTAGGTTCTTTCAAAATATTCTCCCAAGCAAACATCCTCTTAAATCAATTATAAAGTCTAATTATCTCATGAATTACTTCCACCAATGCAATGTTATGATAATGTCCCCTTGGTAATTAGCTTTGTTTTCTCAAATCTAAAGTGAATAGTAAGTAGTTGCATTATCTCACTATGGTCATGTCGTTGGTATTTGACGACTTCTTTAGTAGGTGCACCATTGATGTATTCTTTTGCGTTTTGAACACTCCTAAATTCCATTCTAAAATCCACAAATTTCAAAACTCCTATTATCACCTCCTTGTTAAAAATACTCAAATACCCTTCAACCCTGTTTCAAAACCAATCATTTAAGCCAAAATCCAAATTTTGTTTTCAAGACCTTGTGTCACCCGACTTCATATGTTACAAACGTTATGATCGACCAATTCCATTTCTTACACAAGATTAGTTGTCAATCAAAATCACATCAATACCATTAAAAACAGATTCCCCAACATTTATAACATCAAGATTTTCATATTAAACCAACAATAAACCACCATAAAGTATGTACAAGATTATAGAACAATCACGTTTATGTTATAAAACCAAAAGGAAAATTATTAGATCAGATTTTGGATCTTATTCAATGGTATCCTATAGGAGCTGGAGAATCTTTAAGCTCAAGTCCTTGATAATGAATGTCCTGAAAAAAATAATCATTCCCCATTGTCAAAAAAAACGTAATGAAACAACAAGAATACACAAGAAAATTAAACCGGATTAAAAACGGGATTATAGATGTTAATTAATTACCGAAGCAAAGTGATTAACATCACGATGATGAGCTTCATCTGCTCTCACAACCATGACAACATCACGAAGAGTTGAATCAGCAGGAAGACGCCAATAATCGATAGCAATTGCTGGAGCTTTGACGTTTTCAATGGTTCCTTTGTCAAGCTCCTTCAAGAACTCAGTGTATGAATGAATTGCTTCTTCCTCAAGGTATCCCACGATTCTGTGCGCTAGTTTAGGAGAAGCAAGATATGCGAGAAAGTAGGCGTTGAAGAAGACGCCTTGAACAGTGAAAACCAGGGCACGTTCGTACCACCTTGGTTTGGAAACCTCCATGAAAGTCATTAGATGCATTCTTTCGTTTTCTGCTTCTTCTAATAGAGCTTTGATCCAGCCACCACTGGGCTCGAAACGTCGGAGGGATTTACAGTGAAGGAGCATTCCTCCGACCATTCCGGGAACGGCGGCGACGGTTTCAAGCATCATCGCTCGACATCCATATCGTTTCTATAATGATTCAATCGATTTCAATACATGTTATAGTTTTGATTACGAATCGATTTGGTTAAAATGAGTTTACCTGAAAGAAAACATCGGTAGGGAATCGGAGAGATTTGACAGTCCAGTAAGCTAGTTTATCCAAGAACGTCGTCGGAGTATGGTGCTTCTTTAGATCGATCGAGAGATCTGCTTGGTATGTCTCCCATGGCTGACGAAGAAATTAAGATCAGAAAAAACTGAAAGTGATAACAGAAGAATCCACATGACGATTTAGAGAATTGATTAATTGAAGCATACCCTGAAGCAATGCCACTTCCATTCTGAACCATCCTCTTTCGTAACTTTAGGTGGTTGTACACCCCAGTAACTGACAACCTCTTTACCTTTATGACCACCGGCGGCTGCGCCGCCGCTACCAGTTGCCTCTTCCTTCTGATCCGGCTGCTGTACTTTCTCCCCCAATGTCATCGTACTCGCATGGCGAGCGCCAATCGGAGACGACGTGATCCACCATGTCACCACCGCCTTTTCAGATCCGATGAGGCCGGCGTTTGCTCTCATCACACCGGTAATGGAAGCGTTTCCGGCTGCGGTTGAAAACAAACGTGGACCCATTTGACCCATCACCGATCGGACAACAGTCGTTGCTCCACGACTCATCATCTTCTTTGACGATCACTGAAACCAGAACTTGAAACACCAAAATTAATGGCAGTTGAAAGAAAATTGGAAAGTTGTTGTGAATTGCTTTTTGTGTGTAATATTTCTTGGAGAAGGGTTTATGGGTTTTGGCTCATTTTATACCATACAAAAAGGTATGGCGGTGAAAGGATACGGCGGCGTTTCGTGTCCGATTATGAACTGCATTAAAACAAATCAAATTGTGGCATACGTTTTTCCAATTCTAGCCTTTCGTTTTGTAAAGCTATCTGATGACTCTAAAGTGTGAAATGACTATTATACCCCTTGGATTAAATTTTATTGGTGTTGCAATATTGAATACTTATACGACATGAAATTAATTTTGGGGATCCCGCTGTGTTTGGAGTAGTTAACAGATTAAAAAATGGTAGTATTTTGTAAAGTAGCTAGGTAGATTAGATTAAATATGTAAAATGATATCAAATAAAATATATAAAAGATTGAGTATTTTAAGAATTTAGAAAGTATCTGTTGAATAAACTAATCTAAATAGTTTTTTTAAGCGACTTATAAATTACATTTTAATTGCCAAGTATAACGATTTAAAAAATCCAAAAAATAAGTTAATTTATAAGCCGATATGACTTGCCAAACATCCTAATGAAAGACAATCAAACCATACAAGTTGGTGTTAAATTCTTATTATAACTCTTCAATACAAAATCTAAAAGATCCTAATGGCGTATTTAATTTTTTTTTTCCTCCAAATGATAAAATAGTTAATTAATAATCTGCAAAGCAAAATCAAATTTCTCACAACATGTCATCGTTGTATTTGTTGTTATTTAAATGTTTATATTGACATATGAATTTATAGAAGAACAAAAACATGTCACCCTCTTTTTATAAAATGGGTGGCTTGTCATCATCAAAACATCCGGTTAAAATATTATAACTTTTGATATAAAAATATGATTATAGAACTCATATAAGACATTAGCCATCATCTTATTATTAAAATAAAATGAAACTTGATTGCAGAAATATGGTTTTAACCTAATATAAATTGAAAGAAGGAATAATTGGAGGGTATAATAGTAAATTAGAGAAGGGAAAACAAATGGAAAATTAGAGGAGGAAAAATGCTTTAAGGAACTTTTCTTGGGCTCCAAGCATATCTAGTTGGTCCTACATTTCGGGTAACGTATTTTGTGAATAGAAAATTGCCAAGTGCCAACCAGACACTAACTTGCCCATTCTGCCACATTTTCCTATGGTTTTTATTTTTTAAAAAACAAATTACATGAATGGTCGTTAATGTTTTTTTTTTTTTTTTTTTCTGAAGTAGTTTTGTCGAAAAAAATTTGCGTTCATATGGTACTTAGTGTGTGTAAAAAGATGAAAATGTCTGCTTTTATTTATTTATTTATTTTTAATATTTTACTAATTTGAAATTAAAAAAAAAAAAAAAAAAAAAAGTGAGACCCTCTCTCTCACACACATTAAAGCACCACCCAATTCATCTTCTCTAGCATGTGTCTCCTCCCACCTTACACCATCGCTTGCTGACATGCCACCTCCATCTTCTCCTCTCTCTTGAAATCTCATGAAGGGGAAGATCATTAGATTCAGAAAGAAGTTTAGGGTTTTCGATTTGCAACAAAAAAAAAAAAGTTTTAAATCTGGAGTAGATGGATCCTTTTAAACCCTCTTAAACCCCAACCATAACAAAAATCGCCAATAGAGACATTGCCTTCCACCACCACTAATCCCTTTCCCAGACGCTAGACCAAAACAAAGCAAGAAGTCGAAGTGTCACCTCCTCTAATGGGTTCAGATATGATGAGATTGAATTTCTTGTTCTTTCCGTCACTTAGTAGTCTCGTCGAGTGCTCCTTCTGTCAAAGAAGCTGCCAATGAACCAGGAGCTGCCACCGTCGCTTCTAATCTCTCATCTGATTGTTAAAGAAACCCACAAACATCTCTTCCTTCGCTATTGTTACTGCTTGTTCCCTTCCACGGGGTTAAGCAGCCTCGAACCTTCCCATTTCTCAATTTTGCTCCCCGATCAAATGAAGACGGAGACTTGTTCCCTTGGTTCTCAACTGGCGATGTGCTTGTTGATCTAATTCGTATCTTGGTTGGCAATCCAGAGGGCATGCGCTTGTTTCTTGAAATTTCTTTTCCAAACGTCACTTGCAACTGTGATTGCAGCCATGATGGATTTTAACTATTAAATTCCTTAAATTACAACAGATTGGAGCCTTCGTTGGTATGTTTATTATACAAATTTTGTGTAAGTTTGCAGAAAATTGTGTTTCATTCTTTTCTCTTATCAGTAAGTTTGCATAAAATTTGTGTTTCATTCTTCAAATCTAAAGAATTATATATTCAAATCTGAATCTTTTTCAAAACATCTTCGTAATTCTGCCCTGTCATAGTTTGCTTTCGCTTGTATGATGGATGTTTTTTTTTTGCTGAAGTACACAGTGGGGTTGTGGGTTTCATGATGGTAGTGGGATTGATTTCTTCACCAAAGCATGAACACATCAAGAGAGAGAGAGAGAGAGAGAGAGAGAGAGAGAGGAGATAGGAGAGGGGACCATATGTGAGCATAAAACAAAGGTTATTTTTGTCATTTAACAAAACTTAACAGAATATGTTAATAAAGTTAGTCACAAGAGCCTTTTGTGTGCAATGTTTGCTCCGTCGATACCATCTGAGAGAAAAAAGTTTCGTAAGAATTATTTTAGGGAAAAAAAGCAAAACCTTCAGGACCATTCGTGTAATCTGTTCTTTTTTAAATATACAATTATATTTAAATTATTACAATCAAATCCAAAAGTTCATAAGGCTCATGAGAACTATTATAACTTGCCTCTTATGCCAAAATTTCCTATGGTTTATATTTTTTAAATATACAATTTTCGTATGGTTTTTATTATTATTTATTTTGTAATAAAAAATTATAGCTTTTAAATAAAATATTTATATTTAGACCTTATATTTATATTGTTTGTTTATACTTAGTTAATATTAGTGTCTAGTTAAGAAAATATAATTAATTTATATACATGAATTTAGTATTTATTAAATTTTCAATTGGTTCTAAATTGAATTTATTAATAATCTTCCTTAATTTAAGTTTTCAAAACTTTTAACAAATATTAATGATTTAGGTATGTAAAATTAAATGGTAAAAAATACTTTGTAATTTACACCTCTTAAAATTTAAAATATAACTAATCTGCTTTATAATATAATATAAGATATTAAAATAAAATCGTTTAACAAGTATTTATGAATTTCAAATTTTTGGCACCATATTTTAATCACTTTTGTTTGCGGCCCGTTCACTTCTTTTGTAGGTCATAGATGCTTTTAGTTTTATAGTTTTGTCACGAATGGTTTTGGATTTTAGCATATTTAGTCCATGTAATTTTGTAATATATAAAAAACGAACTTGTAAAGTTCTTTTCTATTTTTACAAAAACAATCCATAAGTTAAATATTTTTGTGTGTTGTTAGATTTGGCCTCTATATAGAATATAAATTCCAACAATTGTCCCGATAATTTATAGAAAACATCATTGTGTATTTTTTTTTATAGAAACTATGTTTAAAAAATTACAAAAAAGGTTTTGTGTATTTATTTCTTTTGCAGATTACAAAAACAATCCTACACTTTTTGGTTTCACACTTTTGCCACATGAGTATTGTATATTTGCAGGATTTTCCTTACATTTTCGGCTTTTGTAGTTTCGTAAATTGTGCCCTTCTCCCTACCCCAAACCTCACATGCGTCCCGCAAAGCAGGGATGGGGAAATTTCTAATTAGTATTATATAGAATATGATAAGATGACTAAATTTCATTGTTTCAAATTGCCTCATATATCTGATTATAAATATTTTATTATATAATTTTTTTTATAAAAAAAAAAGTATAATTTAATTACATAAGTAATTATAGATTTTGAAACATCTCAAAATTCATGATCAAAAATTTCATTTTTAATTATTAAATAAAACCATAGTTATCAAAACCTCTAGTCAAAGCATAAGTTATAATATCAAAAAATATCATGATCAGAGTATCCATCTCAAAAACATATGCCAATATATCTGAGTAAACATCCTAAGCTAAAACATCGTGGTGTGTGTAATGCAGTCATCCCGAGATCTTCCATTCGCTACCAGAAGTACCTGAAACCAAAATTGAAAACTGTATACACGAAGCTTAGTGAGTTTCCCCAAACTACCACATACCATACACATTATCACATATAAACGTATCGTGGGCCCTGCCCCTTCATCCGGCCACGCCTGACATCAGATGATGTCTGACATCGGGCCCTACCTGGCATCAAGATGAGATCGACATGCATATAAACATATCACAATACACATAAACATATCACATAGCATAAACATATAAACATTCATCAGGTACCGCCCAACATCAGACTGAAATTCGGAAAGCATATAAACATTCCTCGGGCACCACCCGAAATCGGACTGAAATCTGGAACATATAAATACAGACACATGCAAGAATCACAAAGACATCAAGAATACAAACATTCCTCGGGTAACACCCGACATCGGATCGTAATCCGGAAAACATACAAACCTACATCGGGCACAGCCCGGCATTGGACCTTAGTTCGGAACATACAAACATATATATATATATATATATATATATATATATATATATATATATATATATATATATATATATATATACAGGCCGACATTGGTGCCTTTGACCCGTTTATACAGGAGGAAAACTCACTACGCTTCGTGCTTACAGTTTTCAATTTGGGTTTCAGGTACTTCTGGTAGCAAAGGGAAGAGCTCGGGATGACTGTATTGCACACACCACGATGTTTTAGCCTAGGATGTTTACTATGCTATATTGACATATGTTTTTGAGATGGATACTCTGATCCTGATGTTTTGAGATATTATAACTTATGTTTTGACTATTAGTTTTGATAACTATGGTTTTATTTAATAATTAAAAATGAAATTTTTGGTCATGAATTTTGGGATGTTTCAAGTTGGTATAAGAGATCGATTTTAGTGCTACTCGAAGGATTGGATGTGACAACCCGAAATTTCCATTATGTACAAACCATATCAAGTCAATAGAATTTAGAACAGTTACAGTTAAGTTCCAGACTTTTGGGTATAAGTTTGACAGTTTCTTTTAGGATTTACACTTAAGGAGATATGAGGAGAATGGATGCACTAGGGTTTTGTGCAACACTGTTATTCCAAAACT